TTCAGCAGCAGCTCTCCTGTGCCGTGGCTGCCCTCCCCTGCTGTAATGTGAACACAGCCACCTCGTGTAGGCAGCAAAGGAGTCTGGTGTCAGGCTCCCCTGTTTGTCTGGCCTTCAGCCTGGTTTTCTGGAGGGACAAAAAACAAGACTCGCTTTACCTTGGAACAAACTTTTTTAAAATTTATTTTATAGATCACACCAGCCTGAGTGATCTTTAAATGCTGGTCACAAAAGAGAGATCACACCATCTCCTTCGCACAAACTGAAGTGAACCTTCTTTTCAGTCTCGGCAGTCTCCTTCATTTGGAGTACAAGGAATGGAGAAAGAGAAAACCGCCTGGAGCTCCCTGCTTCTCTCAGAAGCAGAGGGCAGTGAAATCAGATGCAGTTTGATGCTGCTACAGGGCCAGGAGACAAACCAACCAGGCCCTCGTGCCCTGCTTAGCCACACCTCACACCCCCTCACAATGCGGGTGCTATTAGTGTTGTAGCCGCCTATAGTTCCCCCCTCGCCAGGAGAGTGCTGGTATTTAGGCACATAGCTTGGAAAAGGACTGTCTGACCTCCCCCTTCCATCCTGCTCAGGCCACTGCAGTCTCTAAGGCAAAGTACCCTCGTCTCCAAACCACGTTCCACACCTCTCCCGTGCCGATTAATGCTCTTGGAGTGCTGGTGTCGGCACTGGGAGATGCACTCCCTCTCCCCCCGAGCCTGCTGCCGCTCAGTCGGCTTGAAAGCCTCCTCAAATCACAAGGTAAACTGGAATGAACTCCACACAGGTGCCACAGAGTGAGAAACAGGAACAACCCGCTAAGGAGGGACAGAAGCTTTACAGTCTCCCTCTAATTAATGTCCTTCGCTGGAGGAGGAAGCCCTCAGAGAAACCAAGGCTGACCGCGCCTGCTGGGGAGAGCCACAGCTTGCTGGGGGTGCCACCTCCTCCTCAAAGTGCTCCCACACTCCCAGAGCTTCCCACAGACTGGCAGATGGGAACTCCTGTCCTCACTGGAGCCAAACAAAGAGGCAGGGTTAGAAGAAGAGAGATCAAAATAAGCAGAGAATTGATTGCTTGCACAATTCAGAGTTAAAAACATTCTAACAGTAATTTGTAGACTGTCCTTGCAGGACCTTTCTGGAGAAACCAGAATTTGTCATTGGAAAAAAAAATTAAAATATTAAATGAGAGTCAAAATTTACCTTCTGTGCTTCCAACCCTGAAAGCACTTCTCTATGTTCTGTACCAATTCACCACTGCCCTTTTTGGCCAAGAGGGGAGAAGACAAATCCTACCTCTGCCATGGCAAAGTTTGGCCAGTGACTTCCAGAAAAGATTTTGGAAATCTTGGAGTAAACAAAATCAAGGGGAGGTCATGTTTGCCTGGTGTCTCTGTTCCAAAGGTATCCTGCCAGCTGTGACCTCTGTCCACCGAGGTGAGAAGGCTGGAGGGGCTCAAGGGACGGACCAAGTGTTCCTGCACTGTATTCTTAATACTGTCAATTGAGCTGCTGCAGCCTTGAGAGGAAGCTTAGATTTGCTCCAGTGTGCACTGAACAAACACTAGGAAAAGCATCACAATCGGAAGGGGGACAGGATGGGCAAACATCTGCCCATTTAACTCTGTTTCCAATTAAAATCTTAAGTGCTAGCAATGTTCTTTAAGAAGGATATTTAACATAGGATCCCTGAATTTAACATCAAGAACTGCTTTCCAATTTGTTTCCCTCTTAGATCTCCAACTAAAGAACTTTCTTACCATTTCCATCAAACTTCAGTCATGACAACATTAAAATAAATCCACTCAGAAACAGTTTCAGAGGGAGGGAATCCAGAAACATATTTGGCACAGGGCCACAGTGGTGAGGAAACAATATCCCATGGAGCCATCCTAAGCAACGTGTTTTAACCTTTGCAAGTCTGAAGTTTCAGGCATTTGATAATCCCTGGATCTGAGACAGCAAATAGGGGGAGAGCAGCAAGTCCTGTGAACAGAACAGGGTGAGGGAGGAGGGAGGCAACTAACTGGCTCTTTGCAGTTTTATCCAGACTCTCCTCTCATCTTCATGCACACAAAATATAATAAAAACTAATAAGAATAAAAACTAAGCCCATGATGTAAAAAATGTGTCGACAGGGGGAGGAGGAAGGTGTCAGTTACTCAGTTCTGTGTGTCTTACCACCTTCATTAGCTTATAAATTATTCTCCTCTCCATCACTTCCTTCAGGGAGGATGGACGATTCTTCTGCAGCCAATCAGCTGTGATGGGTTTTGGTTTAAGCTGCTCTGGAACTTTTGGATAAGAAATGAAGGGAAGGGGAGGAATTCCTCGGAGAGAGAACGAAGAAATTCAGCAGCCACTGGCAGGAGTCACACAGGCTCCCTGAGATTTCACTTTATGGCGCTGACCCCCACGTCGCCGACCTCCTCCTCCAACTTTTGACTGGAAAACAAGAAGACTCACTTTAGTCCAAAAACTGGCTACTCCTGAATGGGAGTATCAACACAGCAGGAGTTCAGGTGGATCACACAAACATTCAGACAGCAGGAGGGCAGTTATAACTGATCAGCTTCCTACCACTGCAGGAAGGAGACAGGGCAGACAGACACACCATGAGGAAAGGAGAGACAGATGCACCGCAAAGTTTTGCCCTTCAATCTGGAGAGGATTTCATTTCCCACTATTCTGAATGCTTCACTCCCCCGAGAGCCAGCAGATGCTGTGGGGTTCAGCATCCAGGAAAACAAGGCCTCAGGCTCCCCTGACTTTGTGCAGAATGGAAGGAGAGTCCCCCATCCCCTGCCCTGGCTCTCTTGCTAACCCAACTCGGTTCCCAGTCTCAGGCCAGCAAACCCACTGCTCCTGTTTGAAAGTAGCCAAATACCTTATTGCCCTCACGGGTGTGGGGCTCTTCATCCAGTGCAGGCTGAGGGGAAGCAGCAAGGAGAGAGAGGAAGAGGTAAGCAAGAACAAAAGCAACACAGAGTCTCAGTGGGAGGGATGAAACAAAGAGCAAGCTGTGAGTACTACTTACAACTGCACCGACACTGCAGCAAGACAAGGAGGAGATGGGGTATCTGTGCAAAGCCCCAGGCATATACCAAGGGAGAGAATCCCTGCCAGAGGGCCCTTCCAGCAACCACCAAGGCTCCAGAGGGAGAGATTTGACCAATGGTAACTAATATAGCTAGAATTAAGAAGTAGAACACTGACCAGGTCTCTTGACCAAGTCAGTTCCTGAACATTTCACTTACTAGGTAAGTACACTGAAAGGGGAAGACCTTTCTTCCATCAGTAATAAAGCTGATAAACAGCTCCCAAAACCTGCAGTTTGACTTGAGTTTCCATTCCTTTCAGGCCAGAAAGCCTAGGTATCCTTCACAGACAAGCTGAGCTGAGAAGTCCTAACAAAACAACCTGGATAAATTTCTCTAGAAAGAGGTAAGTCTTTCCTTCTCTTTGGATGTTTTCATCCTCCCTCTTTGACAGGGCAGACAACCTGTGCCTAATACTACTACTTAGGCTGTAATTTCTCTAGTGTAGGGATATTCTACCTCTCATTCAGACATCAGAGACCCTTTCTGTGACTGGTTGTTAGATACCTCAGTAGTTCAGCTACTTGAGTGTATGGAGACACTTCTTCACTGTGAGCACAGTCAAGTGGTGAAACAGGTTGTTGAGGGAGGTTGTGCATTCTTCCTCCTTGGAGGTTTCTAAAGACATGACTGGATAAAACCCTGAGCAACCTTGTCTGACCTCACAGCTAATCCTACTTAGAGCAGGAAGTTAGACTAGACACTTTCTGAGGTCTAACCTGAATTGCCCCAGGACCCTGAGCTGCTAGCTGCCAAAATGTCAGCCATGGAGTCATCAGGCCATCAGAATCATGATTTCTGCTGCGAGACTACTCATATTTCTCTTCATTTCTGTGGCACATTGAATCCCAGTGTGAGTTCAAGGTATGAGGGGGTAATGCTTGTGCTTCAGAGTGCCCTTGCTCTAACAGAAGAAACCAGGACACAAGCAGGTAGGACAGACAGGATATTTTCATCATGTACCAATGGTTGCAGGGCAGTAGGTGTCAGTGGTGCTGCAGCTGTTGAGGGGGTCTCATCCCCAGCTGGTGAGCCTCCAGCTGCCATCCCAGTGGCAGCAACACCATCCTCTCGTTTCGTAACAGCTCCCTTCTTGGTTGACTGCATCTTGATCTGCTGTGGCTTGGAGTTCATTGGTGAGTTATTGGTTGTCTGAAGTAACTGCAGATTACAAAGTGAGAGGCTAAAATGAGCAGTAAAATAGCTAGGGTTATCTGACAAAGTTCGGTGTTGCTTTTTAACAAAAAGCCCCAGGAGAATTTGTACCAGTAGTCATCAGAAGAATGCAGCAGCAGCTGTTCCAAGAAACCTCTGAGCTGCCCTCAAGAACCCTTACCAGGAGGAAAGGACCACCTGGCTGTGGTGACATTCAATCCTCCCCAACACGACTCAAAGAGACCAGCTACAAGATGTCAGAAAGAGTCTGAGCCTTAATAACCAGAGGCATTTAGCTCACCCCCCACCTTCCCATTCCTTCACTCACACCACACACAACAAAGCACATCGCTCATCCGCAACCCCTGCCAAGCCTGAAGTCTGTGACTGAAGGACAGCCTCTTCCCTCAGTTTTCCAGAGCTATAAGGATTCTCCCACTGGCTTCTCAGTGTAAGAAGCAGCTAATGGGCAAACCCACGTGGGACTGTTCAGCCTGTACCTTGGTGATGGTGCCCACAGCCTTGGTGCGCCCCTCGCGGAAGACCAACCGCTGGTCTATGTGCAAGTACTCCGGGGTTTTGATGAAGCGGAAATGCACCGTGGCCTTGTCCCCTGTCCGCAGGCAGTCCTTGTCCATGCTGAGGATCGTGGCTGTTTGACGGATGCTGCCACAATGCACTGCAAGTGGAATGCACAAAGGCTTTCAGCAGCCAGTGCCACTGGTGGAACAAGCCTCAGACCTCTAAGGCAGCTCTCGTTACCCTAAACCAAAGGCTTTATGGGTCATGCAGCTGCCTCTGCCCAGTCCTCAAAAAGAGAGCACAAAGCTAGAAGAGTTGCCTTTGAAAGGTGCCTGTCCTGAAGCACTCTCCACAGAATCCTCCACTCCCAATCAGCCAGGCTAGAGGGCAGGACTCAAAATGAGTCTTTCCATCAGCATTTGAAGGATCCTTGCACCATGGAGATCCAGCTCAAGCAGGCTCCAAATACACTTGAGGGCACACATCTCTTTTTTCCCTTACAGTCTCCCTCATTCTTCCCTGCCAGCTCTCTCCCCTCTCTCTTACACATTGCTGGGAAAGGCAAAGCCAGGAACTGTGGCTTATTCAGGTTGACAGAGTCATCAGGAGCAAAATTATCTCAGTCTAGAGCTGATACAAACTGCTACCACTGGGAAACAAAGACGAAACAACACTGAGACACATACCCATGGCCTGATATCGTGGGCTGATGGTGGTGGGGTGGTGGAGCACCAAAATCTCTGCCTCAAACTCCCACGATGCTTGTGGATTCAGGCGGGGTGACACCATTACCATGCCCTTCCGGATGGAAGAACGCTTGATCTGAAAGGCAGACACAAAAAACAGCATGATTCTCCAGGGAAGAAATCTGCTTCTCTGGCTGACTACATCCCACAGGATCCTAAGAGATTTCACAGATATTATCTCATGCTCACCAAAGGGCAAAGCTAGAGTTGTTCAGCAGTCTGTTATGTATATGTTATGTAAAGTTTTCAAATATCAAGTTCAGCTGAAGTTTTTAAGGCAGCTTTAGTCAGAGTGCTGAGAATGCTGGACACTTGACACACTGACCTCACTGATCCTTTAAAAGCAAAACATACATCATGGGTGCACATTATCCAAGTAGATGATCCCTTCAAAACCATGATGTCTGTTAATACAACATGGTAAGTCTGAATGGATGATGTAGCTGAAACTATATCCCTTTAAAAATCAGTGCAGTTTCTACTGACAGAAACCTTTTGCATGAGGAATCACAGCAAGTTTTGATGATTTTTAAATCCCAAGTCATGCAGCTGGTCCTACAAGCTGAGAGGAGTAGTGTAAATACTCTGCTCAGGATACCAGTGCAATTCCAACACTGGAGGAGACAACTTCCTTTGCAATGCCTCCACTTTGTTAGTTATCTCCAACCACTATTCACCATTACCCTGGGGCACTGCTATCATCTGGCAGCTCTCAGGAGGCACAATCAGGATGTGAAACCCACAGAGGTTTTATTATTATTATTATTATTATTTATTTAGTAGTATTATTATTTATTTA